ATACAAAGTGTGTTTCTTTGCAATCATGGTTCAGATTTGACCCAGCCCACTATATGTGCCTTGAAAATGTCGGCACCATCAAGGTTCAAGTTCGGTGCGATCGTAATGCGGCCGATCCTAATTGCACTGTCACCGTTCATTATAGGTAAAATTTGCGCAATTAGCAAGTCAACAAGCTTTTGACAATTTAATAATTTATCTTAAAAATTGAATATTCTGAATGGTTTCAGAACTGTTGCTGATACCGCTCAAGAGCACTCAGATTTCGTACCCGTGGAAGGAACACTAACTTTCAAACCAGGAGAAGATCTGTGGGTTAAGCAATCTGGAGTTTTGCAACGGTTTCCATTAAGTGTAAGCGCCTTAACTAAGCAAAGCTCATTATAGGCAGGAAATAGAAATTTCTATCGTTGACAATGACATTTATGAGGATGATGAACAATTCATGGTCCGACTTTCACAGGTTGAAAATTTGCTTCTTTGCAATAACTTTGGGTTAGTTTGTAGGCTGAAAAACTTTTTTCAGCATCCAATTTTTAGGTACGCGCACATTCACCGTCGCAGTTCGCACCAGTTCCTGTTCGCCTAGGAGCAGCTTCGACAGCTACCGTACTCATCGTCGATGACGATCACGCTGGAGCTTTTGGGTTCACCTCAGAAAAATTCAAAGTTGTTGAAAGCGCGGGAGAGTTTGTTGCTGAGGTAAGGTAGAAACTTAACGTCTTAATATGGAATGAACCACGAAACATCTTGTAGGTTGTTCGAACTAGAGGAGCTCGTGGTGAAGTATCAATTCCTTATAAAACAGTTGATGGACTGGCAAAGGCTGGAGATGATTACGAACATTGCGAGGGAACCCTGCAATTTCTTAACGAACAGACCAAGTCAGTCATTTTCTAATTTTTTGGGGATAAAGAGTTGCACAAATTCACCTAAAAATTCTTGTTTAGAGCTGAAATTCGAATTCCTATCGTAAATGACGACGAGTATGAGAAGAACGAGGATTTCTTTATTGAGTTAGGTGAACCCGTCTGGCATCGGGACATTGCAGCTACGGTAAGTATTGGAGATATAGGTCAGGTGCAGTAAAATTAAAATGAAACCAGTAAAATGCTTAGATAATTATTAATTTGATCGTAACGCAACAAATATTGGATGAATTTGAGAAAGAATTTTTTCCAGGATGAAGGGATTGAAGGTCGACCAGTGCTATCACTTGGTCGCTGCAAGGTTGTTATCACGGAGGACAAGGAGTTCAAAAACTTCGTGGACCGAATGCTCACAAATGCAAACACTTCTATCATGGTTGGCACAAGTAGTTGGAAGCAGCAGTTCAACGAAGCTCTCACTCTTGAAGAAGGTGCGAGTAGATCCATTATCCTATAAATATCCGTATCCGAGCATTTTCAAGTTGAAAGAAACAAGGAGTCAGAGGAATGACGCGAGCACAAAAACTCTTCTAGTAGTCGTCAGGGTTATCGTTGTCATCAACTCTAATCAGACAGGGATAACTATGATCTTCAT